GAGAGAGAGCGAATGAGTGAGTGAGAAGCAGAAGCAGCAGCAGCAGCTGAAATCACATTCAGGTTTGGTTAACACTACGCAAGACATGGTGAAAACTTCGGATGCTGTGATTTACAAAACGGATATGACTAGTGAGATGCAAGAACAGGCCGTGGTGCTGACGAATCGCGCAATCACTGTGTACGCCACTGACGCGGATGTGGTCGCCTATTTGACAGACGAGTTCGACAAACGATACAAGCCCACGTGGCATTGTGTGATGGGAACACAATTTACCAGGTAAGTAACAATTTCGCCTTTTGGGTTACGTGATAGCAAGCAATAATCATTTGAGTTTCCCAATACAGAAACGAAATAGTATTTAGCATGTGATTTTGTGCCTACGTTTACGAAGTTGAGATGAAGTACGCAAAATTTAGTGAAACAATTGTAATCTTTCGATATTTTCCATCCATTCAGTCAAACACATGTACTAAAGTAACACTGTGCATGAGGCGCCAATAAGGGAATGAACGACGGCAGAGAACATAATATGCACGTTCCTTAGCGATTCGAACCCGGGTACGGTTACAACTGATCAGTGTATCTTCGAAATGAGTTCCACTTCTTCCACTCCGCTGAAAGGTTTTCAGTTTTTCAAGGGTCAAAACTATCGGTAAGCCTCATTATGTGAACCGCAATCAGAAACATGATGAATCTGAAGTAGAAACTGTAGGACTCGGTTAAGACGGTCTTGTAAAGGATACCGGTAGGCTATGCTTTTCATTATCGATCGAAGACTTCGAACGCATATGTACATTTTACACAGGGAAGATAATTTCAAGGGTTGGGTATCATTTGGCATGTGTTTGAACGACGCGAGAACAATGAAATTATTCTCTCTAAGTTTGTTGCCATTGTTCTATCCGTTAAACATGGCGAATTAAATAGAACTTCAGTACTTAATGCAGTGTAACGCAGTCACACACACACACACACGTCGAAAGGTGTCACATTCCGTCTTTAGCTGCATGTGCTGTTTATTCGGATACGTTGAAAGTAAATGAATAACTTTACTGTGAGGAACTTATGCATACACAGAGAAAATCAAACGGGACTGGAATAATTAAGAAGTACTGTGGAGCACTTTAAACTTTACTGGGTTTCATCAGCACGGAAATTCCATTAACCCAAACGGTGATCGAAACAAGGACCAGTAAGACAAACATAATATACACTTGACCACCTGGTAGTTGAACAGACTTAAAATTTGTCTGTACACGATAAAGCACAGCACATCTGTGGAATCCCGTTGCGGACAACTCACTTCGCTCATCCCAACACCAGCATTCATGACTATGAATCCGTCGGGAATGTTCCGAATCTAGTTACTTATTGCGTGACAGTGGCAGATTTCATCCGACAATATACTAGAAATTTCCCATAATGAAATACCTGGGTCGTGAATAATCGTATGGGAAAAAGAGTGGGTTAAATGAACAACTGTTGATTGGCAGAATGTTTTCCTGCTACTGTCCACGATATGTTCC